GACTCCAAGAATCGAGCAGAATGTCAATATGCACCTTTGATGTATATTGGGAAAATTTTGTGTGAGGTTTGTTTAAAATGGAATGTTTCTATGTCATGCATCCTTCTGGAAACATGGATTCCTGGGGTAATTAGGAAGGAAAGTAATAATACAAGCAACCACGAAAAGAAGCCCTTTTTGGTTATGTGTATGGTCATATGAAATTTCTACAATCACAGCTTAGGTTATCGTTTCTACAACTTAGCTGTTGATGTAAAACGGAGGCTTATCATTCAAGAGTTAGTATCTGTGTTTTTCTGCTGCTGCTTCTCATCGGGGAGTTATCTCAGGGATGAACTACAGAAATCACAGTGCAGGATGGCAAAAGCTGCATTTATATTGACACTCTGACATTTTAATTCCATTAAAAATGAAATCTGAACACTGCTTCATCCCAGGTGGATTGTCGCTCTAAATACCAGAGGTAAAACAATAAATACTCTGGAAGATAACACAGAATAATATTTTCACCATCTTAGGATAGGGGAAGATTTCTTAAATAGGATAGAAAAAGCACTAGTTTAAAGTAAAAGAACTGATAAATTGGACTACATTAAAATTAAGGATTTTTGTTCATTAAAAAGAAACGCCATTGATGAAAAGACAAACCATAGACAACAAGAAAATCTTTGCAATGAATGAAATTGACAAAGGGCTCATATCCAGAATACATTAAGAACTCGTACAAATCAATAAGAAAAAAACAAAAAACCTATTACAAAAATGGCTTAGAGTTGAACAGACATCTACACAAAATGGCCAATAGATAAATAAAATTGCATTAGTAATTAAGGAGATACAAATTAAAACCACAATGGCTAAAATTAAAAAGACTGATAATGTCAAATATTGGCAAATACATGGAATGAAGGGTGTTTCGTACATCTATTATAAAGGTGTAAATTGGTATGGTAAGTTAGGGAAATTGGCTTTATCTACTAAAACTGAACATACATACATTATGACTGCAATATATATATCATATATATAACAGCATCCATACACGTGCCTGAAAAAACTTATATAAGAATGTATATGGGGCACTATTAGTATTAACCCCAAGCTGGAAAGCATTGAAATGTCCATCAATGGTAGGGTGGATAAACTGTGGTATACTTACGTATTGGAATACTACACAGCAATGAAAATCAACAAATTAAAGCTGCATGCTACAACATGGGTACATTTCACAAACATAATATCAGCAAAAGAGGTGAGACATAAAAGAAATATATAGATCCTCTGATTTCATATGCTAATCTATGGTGATAGCAGTCAGGCTGGTGGTGCCCTTTGGGGCAGAGGGAGAGGGTAGTGATTCTGAGAGGGTGGGGGCCCTCTGGGGTGCTTGTATTGTAGGTTGAATCTTGACTTGGGTGTGGATTGCACAGGTGTGTATGTTTTGTGATGATTCATCAGACTGCATGCATTATTTGTGTAATTTTAAAATGTATCATTTTAATTCTCAAAAGTTAAGTCTATATTCAGTGAAATGCTTTGCTTTGGGCTGGACCCAAATTTGCTGCACCTCAATAGAAAAATGCAAATTTCCAGTTGTCCCTGGAGTATTTCTTCAACATCTCTGATTGTCCCTAGAGAATATTTTCCTTCAGTCCCTTCAGCTTTTCATGAGCTGAAATGCTGCTGCAGGAATTGGACTGTAGGAGGAATCTGGACGTCAGGCTCGCTCCTCATGAGGGAGACCCCTGATTGCTCCTTGCATCCCGTGAGGAAGGGGAAGGTGTTCTGGAAGGTGTAGAGTGCTCAGTAGATTGGAACTGTTGTTGATGTTTTAGATGAGAGCCAGAGCCACGCTGTTCTCTGTTCACTTCTTGGAGTCCGCAGCCTCCATCGGACAGCCCCTGGGCCATGTTCCCATAGACCACAATTATAACTGAGTCCAGGCTGCCAGGGGTCTGTAACTCCCAACCTCTGATGACCCCGCCGACCTCACCGTTTCTGCAGCCTGGATTAAATACATATCGGTAGAGTGATAGTGCCTTGCAAAGGCAGATACCCTATGATCAGAATGAGCCTGGAGTATTCAGTAAACCCTAAGACCGGGGCACCTGGGGGGAAGAGTGGCAGGAGATGGTGTCATATGTCCAGAGAGGCCACTCAGGTGTGTGGGGTGCCTGGTGCAGCACCATGGGCCTAGGATGACCAACCGTCCTGGTTTGCCTGGGACTCAGGGGGTTCCCGGGACACAGGACTTTCAGTGCTAAAACCAGGACAGTCGCCGGCAAACCAGGGTGAGCTGGTCACCCTGTGGCGGTCTCTCACATAGACCGTCTCCTCATTCACCACTGGGTTAGCCGCCAGCATCTAATTTTTCCATGTGACTTCACAATGGGCAAGGAAGAACGGTCACTGTTCATTGACAGCTTACTGTATGCTGGGCGCTCTGCTAAGCGTTTCGTGTAAATTCAGTACGTGCCCGGCCCCCGTATGAAGGAGGTGTTATTACTGTCCCAACTGCAGCTCCACGCCCTTCACCGCTACCCGTGTGCCTCTTCCCGACTGGCTGTATCATTTCTGTATTAGTTTTTTGTGAGATGATGATAATTATCCCAGTGGGTAGGAGGAGTGTCGGGGTAAGGAAACTACCAATTTTTTAATTGTCTATCAAGTGACCACACGTGAGCCCGGAGCCTTACATGTGGTAATTTCATTCCCACCACAACAGGAGTAGACAGCGATTATTACCCTCACTTTGTAGATGAGTAAGCGGAGGCTGGGAGAAGCTAATTAACTTGATCCACGTCTCCTAGAGAGGAGACCAGGGCTCTGGGACTTGAATCCTTGTGCGCTTCTCCCTCGATGGCACTGCCCCCTAAGCAGCAATGTCCTAAATTCATTGGTGGCCAGCCAGTTTTTCCACAAGGCCAGCTTCTCTCAGGATGCGTGTTTTGGATAAAAATTCAAATATCATCTGGTCTATGTTGTGACTTTGCAGGTAATTCCTGTCTCTTTGCCCCTGAAGCGTGTTTGCCTTGAGCGGTGAAGCAGACAAGTTACCCTGGGCTGAGATGCCGTGAATGGGATCATCAGCTTATCCACTGGGCTGTGCGTTCCCTTCCGATGTTTTTTCGGGAAGGGCCTCCCTAAATGCTAGCAATGGGGTGAATTCAGCTACACTTGAAGCACATTGATTGGTGCCTAAAGTGTGTCGGGAACTGTGCCAGAGGCACTGGGAGGCCAAGGCAGGAAAGAAATTTTTGATCCTTCACAATCTGGTGAAAAATTAGAAGACAGTAATAATAAGTGCTAAGAATTAGACTAATTTGCACGGCACTTACTTTACGGTGAGGGAAGCACTGAGCACGTCTTATTTACCTCTCACAGCAGTGAAGCGGGACTCCGTTCTTGTCCCATCTTGTAGACAGAGTAGCGGAGGCTGACAGAAGCCGACTTCCCAGCCAGGGCCTCATAGCTTGTAAGCTGCAGGGATGAGAGCTGGGAAACACTGTGACTCCGGAGCGTGTGGTCTGTGCTCTAAACAAGCCACACATCTGCCTGGGATAAGTGCATTTGTAGACATTTGTAGGTCTATAAACAGTCTAAGGAATAACCCGGCCCAGGTATGAATGGAAAACAGTTTCTTGGAACTGACAAGGCCTCATGTTATTTTTACTAACAGACCCTCTGTGTGTGCAGTGTATCGTATTTTGCAAGACATATTTATAACTATCACTTTTTTAATAGAAATATCAGTCATAAGCCTCTGACCATGTAAATTTATCTTGGAGGTTATAAGGTCATATGTGGGTGACCTAGGGTATAAAATGCTGTAAAATGGGCATAACAATATCTCATAGCTGAGTCCCATGATTTATGTAAAGAGACACTTTTAGCTGGTGGGAAAAGTTCAAGTTCTAGAATCAGAGACCTGATTTATTGGGCAAAGTAATCTCTTTGGGCATCTTTGGATGTCACATGGTAATTTGGGAAAATTACTCAACCTCTCTGTGCATTAGTTTCCTCATATTTAGAATGGTGATAATAATAGTATATTTACTTCAAAGAGTTATTACGAAAGGTAAATATGTTAATGTATGTAAAGAGAGAGAAGGATCCCTACTACTTAGTGAGCACTATGTGTATTGGCTACTCTAATTACCACCACCATCCTCATCACCACCACCACCATCACCACCATTACCACCACCACCACCAGTGTCACCATCATTACCACCATCACCATCACCACCATTACCACCACCACCATCATCACCCACAACTATCACCACCACCACCACTACCATCATCACCACTGTCACCACCATCACCATCAACACCATTGTCACCACCACCACCACCATCACCACTGTCACCACCATCACCATCACCACCACCATGACCACCATCATCACCACCACCAACACCATCAACACCACCATCACCATAACCACCACCATCACCACCACCAACACCATCAACACCACCACCACCA